GGCCAGCGGCACAAAGAAACCCGCGAGAGACACACGGCGACATCGATAACGAGGCATCGCGAGTCTTGACTTTCGCGACGCTTTCTCAGATAACGACCTCGGAGTTTCGGCGAAGAAAGCGCGACGGGATAAACGAAGCTTGAGTCAAAGCCCCGGGGAAGCTCTCCGTTCCCGAGACTGAGAATACATCTTATCGTTAGTCCGAGGCGAATTTTGTCGATCCGGCAGAAGTAGCGCTAACAACGCGCGAGTGAATCCCGCTTGAAATAGCTCCCAATGTGAAAAATTCGAACGCGAGCGCCAACGCCAACGCAGCGCGCGGTACTTTTCTTCCTCTCTGCCTTTCTTTCGAGAGGAGAACTCGAAATTAATTGTCAATGATCGCGGGCGACAGGACGTAATTTAGACCGTTTGGCTGCCGCCGCTGACACTCGCCCGTCGCCCGCAAAGCACGCCATTAAATCTCGCTCCGCGCGATTAATTTTACAGCGCAGTGTCATCAAGGAGCCGAAAACTTTGAGACGTCCTTCGTCTCCTCTTCTCTCCTTCGTATCCTATTTCGGGAGGATCTGGCTGCCGCAGTTCTCCCTCCCCGCTCCTCTTCTCTCTCTCTTTCTCTCCCTCTCTCTCTCTCTCTCTCTCTCTCTCACTCACTCACTCACTCACTCACTCACTCTCGCTCTCACCAACCCATTCCCCCATTCTCCCTCGCCCGGTTGTCTGCTCTACACAAGGCGGCGGGTCTCTTAATACGCGAGTGGTGTACAATTTCGAAACTTAAAGGACGAAGTCAAGGAGGGCTCCGAGCGAATTTGCCTAAGTTCTCCGACTTCGCTTCCTCGTCCCTCGAATTATTTCGAGCTTCTATCCGCCGGTAAAAGTAATTTTGTCCTCGAAGAGCGGCAGGGAAGGAGAGAGGATACAAAGGGGAGGGGGAGATAGCTGGTGCTGAGCCGAACTGAGCCGGTGCAGAAGACACGGGGCAGATTCGGTGGAAGCCGGGGCAGCCGGGGAAAGATGCTTTTAGTTTATTACCTCGAGGAAATTACATCGGCGCGAGCCCCGCCGTCGGCTTCGTTATTTTTTTTGCTTCTTTCCGACGGAGCGCTAAAAGACACCAGCCGTCGCGTCGCGTTGCGCTGCGCTGCAGCTTGCGCGCGAGCGCACGCGGAATTTAACATCCGCTCCTTTTACCACGCCGCGCATTTTGAGGAATTACATCGGTCTTACGGTTTGATATCGCAGAAGTATTCCGTCGCGGTGGAAATAGCCGTAGCTATTTCCGCGATGCGTGTACAATCTCCGCGATTTTATCCGGGAGGATCTTATCCCCGCGAGAGAAGCGCGACGCTAGGTTACCGCAGAGAAAAATTAAGCGGATATTCATTGAAAACGCACGAGGTGTGTCTCCGGCGTGTCTTTAGGTGAATTTTCTATTTGTAGAAAAACAAAAACACGAAGAAAGAGAGGAACGAGAAAAGAGAAAGAGAAAAATCCTCTTCTTCTTTTTCTTCTTCTTCTTCTTCTTCTTCTTCTTCTTCAACGGTCGCTTTTCCACGAATGCTTCATATTTTCATTATTTCGAGAGCTCTCTCCGAGAGCGGTGGATTCGACTCGAGATCGTTGATCGCGAACGCGAAGCGAATATGCTAGAAGAATACTATTCATTTCCGGGTTCGGCCTAAATCATAGTCTCTCGCGCTCTTGTCGCGCCTCTCCTCTCCATTGAATAAATCACTCTCTCGACTGTACCATAACCGCTAATCTTCTTTGGTCGCGCTCACTTGCAATCGTCGGCGCGATTTATTAGCTTTGAAAGCGGACCGACCGATAAATATCGATCGTCATTCCGCGCTCCCGATTCGCCACCATAATGCGTCTCTCCTCCTCCTTCGTTTACGAGGCTAATCTATCGCTCGCGTCGCGCATCGAGCATTATTCAACTTTCCAACTTTTGCGCATTGTATTGGGCGCAAAGTGTACCGAGTGCGAAATTAAATTACGACAACGGGCTCGTTTGTCTGAGCGTGCTTTCACCAAGATACAACGACGACGAATTCTACGAGTTCGTCCGACAGCGCTTCCTCGTGCTCTCAGTAATATCGCAGTGAATCGCGCGGTTATTGCGAATTAATAATAGTGAAAGCTGTATCACGTACGTCGAGCACATATCGCGGTTTTAATTCTTTCGCTGCGAGAGTAATGAGTAATATTCGTTGTTTCTAGTTAGTTCTAACGCATTGACAGTGACTGTCATCTCTTGTCATCTCTTTTTGACAGGGCTGTTTAAAAGACGATTTGTCGCAGAGCGATGAAAAATACGCGGATTAAATGCGGATTTAAAAAGTTAAACAAGCCCAAAAGCGTAAGTCGCCGACGTAAGGTCGTCGTTCTGAAACAAATAATGATATTAGAAAAAGATATGTTATAAATATTACATTGTTAACGTTTGTTGACATTATAATACCTTCGTCTTTTAATAACTTCATCCAAAAATTTTAATTTAGAATATAATGAAAATTTAGATTTGGGATTTGGAGCAGCACTTCCACTTCTACTGGGTTGGCAATTAAGTGATTGCGGATTGTCGACAGATGGATTTTACACTTTCTTTTGTTTCGTTAACGTGTTCAAAGTACCTAACCTATATTTTTTCTTATTGTTTGGACTTCTACCTTTCATTTAGTACAAAAATTATATCGATTAGTTCTTTAGTTTTGTTTTTATCCCAATTTAAAAATGGAAAAGCAAGATGTGCACTTCAGACATATTTTATTGTATTATTTCCGAAAAGGCAAGAACGCAGCGCAAGCGCACAAGAAGTTATGTGCCGTATATGGGAATGAAGCCTTGAAAGAAAGGCAGTGTCAAAATTGGTTCGCCAGATTTCGTTCTGGTGATTTTTCACAGAAAAATGCCCAACGATCTGGCCGTCCAGTTGAAGTCGATGAGACCCATATCAAGGCCATTATCGATTCAGATCGTCATAGCACAACACGTGATATTGCAGAGAAGCTCAAGGTATCGCATACATGCATTGAAAAAGATTTAAAAAAGCAAATTTAAAATTTTGAATTTTCATTCTTATTTAAAATCCGCAATCACTTAGTTGCCAACCCGATACATTCATTTTCCATCTTTTTCTTTTCGCGATTGTATTCTCTTAAAGGAGTGCATCTTCTTTGGCAGTACTCTGGTGTGTACAATTCTACACGGATGTATCGGCTTGATCAAGGGTTTTTCTGTCTGCCCTTGGCGCCGCGAGAGCTCGTGGGAGTGGACAAAAGTTTCCAATTCACTTTAATTAGCCGTCACCGTGCGAGCCATCCGCATTGTCGTACACGGAGAGTTGCGTGTCACGACCAACGGCAATTTTCCTCGGTGTCTGCGAGCGTACGAATTATCGGGAGCGTACGAGAAGGATCGGAGATACCGTTAATGTAACCGGAAATTACGGAAGAGAGATGGCTTTTTGGTCGTCGAGTGCGTGACTCGGTGCGAGTGTCACGGCGCGTCTCGACACGGTCAGACTGAAAACACGGCCGCGTCGAGATAATCCGCTTCGCTTCGCGTCGATACGCGCGCGTCGCTCCGCGCGACAGTTATTTCGCAAAGTCGAGTTGCGCGCGAGGCAGGAATTTCGAAACACCGATACCCGATATGCGGTATGCAACGACACGCGTCCAACGGAATACCGGCTCAAATTCTTGATTTTGACTCGAGACATTTGTTGCCCCTCGAAGATGCCGGAATTTCATACCTCAATCTGTAATTTTCGGTACTCCGCCCTTCTTTTACCAATCGAATTTCATTCTCATTTATTCCGGTGAGATTTTCAGCTGGCGACATTATTACGAATCAACGAAAAACAAGTTTCACGCGGCGCCACAGTAATTCGGAAACTAATACTGTATAGTATTTTTAAAGCTTAGGGTCGTGCAGCGCGAAAAGGAAAAATTCATCGTCTGACGAATGAAGTCGTGGTGCCGAACGAACGAACGAACGAACGAACGAACGAACGAACGAACGAACGAACGAACGAACGAACGAACGAACGAACGAACTAACGAGAATCCACCGGTTATCGGAATGCCGCACAGTGTCCAAGCGGGATCCAAGCGCTGATCGCATCGATACGGGCGCTCGATTTCCCGTAAATGTTAACGGGGCCGCCCGTGCCGGAGACAATCGCGCGCGCGTCGGCTTCGTCGTCGCATACCAGCGAGAGCTAATTGGACCGCGGATGTACCTAATCGAAGCTAATGCGAGCAGCCGAAGCCGTGTCTCGGACTCCGGTAACGGGCCATGAATTATCGATAAGCCGCAAACGCTGTGCGCGCGCGCCTTCCTCCGCTTGCGCTATCAATGAAGTCGCACGTGGGACGCGGGCGATGCATGGCTCGCCAAGACAATGTGACCGCCGTTCTAATAGCGGAACACGAGCTCTTCGAGCGCCGTGACAGATGGAGACGCGCGATAGAGTCTAATTAACCCCCAGAATTGCCAGAGCCGCAAAGTGCGCATGGCTGTACAGTACAGCGAAACGAGCAGCACCGGAGACAACGACTTGTAAACTGTGTGCCTCTCTTCCTTTGGAAACTTTGGAAAGTGCTCGAAATACGACAGCGATTTAGCGGTGGCACACACTCGCGATCGGAGCAAACTCCAGCTCTTTGCCCCGTGTTTTATTCTCCAAATTGCTGGGAGTGAGATCTAAGGACGAAGGTTCTCTGGAAATTCATTCGGATGGAAGTAGAGCACTCGGGACAACAAGAGGCGAATGTACGCCAATTCCTTGCGTGCCTTGATCTCTCTCAATCTATCAACAGCGACGGTGCGCTAAAACGTATCTCTGTATCGCATAAGCGCGCTAATTTGCTGTTCCAGTCCGAGTCTACATATAGATATCCGCCGCTAGACGACGACACACTGATCACATCCTCGCTGCGAAATTAACTCCATTAACAAAGCAAATATTCCTCTTTTCTTTCTGCCCGCAGAAGAAACCGAACGAGAAATCGATCAAGCTGAGGGACCTCGTCCTGGCGAGCTCGGGTCAGTACAAGTGCGAGGTCTCCACCGAGGCGCCGTTTTTCGCCACCACTTACCAGACGGCCAATCTGACGGTGATTTGTGAGTATACATCTTTGTCTCGCATCGGATAACCCGTCTCGTTTCGTTCGTTCGATATAAAAGCACCAAATACTGCCGTGAAAAAAAAACATTTCCTTCTCCGCTGAACTGTGTCGGCTCGTTCGCTGCGTTTGTACCGCGCAAAATTACACAAATTCTTCCGACCGTCCAATCAGCCCGATCCTCCGCATACATTTCGACGATAAATCTCTTGTTCCCCGAATCTCTTCAACTTCTCCGCGTCAAATCCTCCGTGATAAATTGAGGTGATATCGCGCGGTCTCTCGTTAACGCATAAAATCCTATGATCCCGTTAATTCACGAATGACCAATAGAAACTCAGGCCTGCCCGTTTGAGTTACCGATAACAATATCTGCCATTATGGAATATTTATGTATCGTTGCACGCGCGCGCGCGCGCACGCCCACGCACGATAAACTATTTCCATAACAGCGGCGCGACCGGATTGTTTTATTGTGAAATAGTTGTCCATGTGCGGTTCGCGCCGCAAACCATTTCGCACATCCTCGTGCCATTAATTCGTGTCTTGGGCGCTCGCCTAAATATACTTTTTAATTACACACGCGACCAATCATTTCATTGTGCGGCATGCGCAAATAACGATACCGCACGACAGTATACACGTCCGACTAGTAATATCTCACACACGGTGCACTTTGTAATATTTCGCTGTCGCATCAAATTATTATTAACTATATATATCTGTCCGCGCGAAGGAAATGTCAAATTTTAGCGATGAAATACTTTAGCGGGGTAATGTGGTGACACAAGTTGATGAAACTTTGCGCGACTAGACGCAATCTTTCAGTTTCCGATAGAAAGCCCCTCCCCTGTGCCAGGAGTTCACTATCCTTCGAAATCGTGTTCTCGCGCATACGAGGAACATTAAGGAAGACGTTTTGCCATTCGCTGATTCGTCCTGCACGCACGTTTAAGTATGCAAGTTGGACGAGGAGAGGGAAAAATGGAAAACAAAACATGTCACAAATGATGCCGTTGGTGTAAGAAAATTAAACGTCGCCATCGGCGCGTCCACATCTTTCCGGATAATCGTCATAATTTTTGCTTGCCTTAATAGGCAATTGAGCGATAAAAGCCGCGCGTGGTCGGCCGCGCAGTGTTTTACGATAACACACTTGTACCGATTTCGTTCCGTGTTGCCGGAGCCGGAGCCGCGTTGCCCGACGGTGTTCCCCGGCCGTCATTAAATGCGTACGTTTCAATTAACCATTTAATTATGTGCATTATAATTCATACACGAATCACGTAAAATACGCGCTCCGCATTTCCCACCCATCCCATCATGTCCCCACGCGCCGTTGGAACGGCGTCATCGGTCAGCGACGTTAATTTGTCCCGGTCCGATCGTCCCAATAAAATCGTCCGCGTTTCAGCCGGCGGACAAATCGGTCGACGAGCACAGCGCGTCTGCGAAATGATCAACTTTGTCGAGCGACGGCCGAAGAAAAATAGCATTATCACACTGGAAGCAACGCTGCGCGCGCGCGCGAGCGCGCGAATCGCCGCGTCGCGAGAATCAATCAACGCCGAAATTTATTATTTCGACAAGTGCCTCCGCCCTCGTCGTCCGCGACAGATCAATTAAATGTACGCCATACGAACGCAATGCTCCCCTTCTCCCCCGCACGTTTTTTTTTTTTGTTTCACCGCTAGCGACGGGAAAGCCGGTTTCAGGTGTCGATGAATAGAGGAGGTCCTACCTCCGAAAAAAATAACGCGCTCGCAATTCTGCCTATCGCTCGCGAGTTTCGCTAGGCTCTTGACCGGACCGCGTAAATCACTCGCGAATGACGAAAACGTCCAGACTGCTGGAGCACTCGCGATAAAGCGGGCGAGTGAACCAGACCGCCGCCACCTCGCCGTGTCGCGGGATCGCAGCGGCGCGCATGCCGCGTCTCGAACAAGGTCAAAGCCGCACAATCGGTATCGCGCAGTTCTACCGCAATGTAATTTGACCTGTCATTCACTGAGAGAAAAGTATATGATATTTGGAACTATAATGATATAGTAACTGAATTATAGTCCGAAATATCATATTTATAGTGAGTATTGCAATAATATCGGTAATAATTACGATATAGGCATAGTATAACCAGCCATATAATATTTCTACTAAGAATTATAGAAAGTTGAGCTAAAATTATTGTATGGATACAAATATAAAATGGTAGTAACTCTTGGTAAAGTAGCTCTTTTATATAGTCAATATTACCAGAATATTTGCTAAATGATGACTGAGATGTAACTATATGAATATTAAATCTCACTATATTTGTGAATGAGAAATTACCATATATGTGGTAAAAGTAACTAAACAATTATTTAAGACAATCATTGACTATATGTTTGTGTTTATTCTACTATATTTTGCAGGTTCCACCAACTATAAAAATATGGTTGACGCCAAAATGAACTACAAAATATAGTGAGATTATAGTTAATTCAACTATATTTTTCTATCAGTGCACGCTTGAGAAATACGCATTTGAATGCGTGTTTGGTCAATCGTTAGCAAATGCGGCACCCATCTTGCACAAAGCTTCTTCAACTGGCGTTGCTACTCGAATGATTTGACAGGTCGAATAAAATTTTACATGGGTTTATATATCGGGGATGCCACTTTCCAATGCAATTATAGTTTGACAATTTCTAATGCCATATATGTGTCAGGTCGAGAAGTTTTCAAACCGCCTATGTATTTTGTAATAGTCGTCGCGGTAATTCCGCGGTGATACAGAGTGTGCGGCCGAGCTAAGTGAGTTATTACTTCATAAATAAATGTTTTTGAAAAGAGATTCCAACGTGGCGATTTGATTCTCGTTTGATGGATAGTACGGTGTTTTAATCCCGGTGAGAATACGAGACAAAAGAGAGCAGCTCTGCGAGGGGCAGGGGGAGAGAGGGAGGACGGAGGAAAGAGGAAACGGAAACTGGCCAGAGTGGAAAAAGAGAGACGCGTAACTGCAAAAGAGGACGGGGGCTATCCATATAGTTTTGCGAGTTCTGCGCGTCGACCACGCGAAATTTGTTTCTGCCCGTTGCGAAGGTGCCGCAGGAACGACCATTCCCCTTCCTCCTTCGCTCTCCGCCCCCACTATGCCGAAAAAAAAATTTACATCGTTTATCACCATACATCATCGAAAAAAGAAGCGAAAAAAAAACGTATTCGCCTGTCCCGTCGAATATTTTCGCGGGTGCGAGCCCATCTCCGCTCTCGATTCGGTCTCGACCGAATTCGCTGGCGCTGTCGAAGTGTTACGCGACCGTTCCGATCGGACGCAAATTTTTGACAGCCCGTGACCGCATTCACTTAAAAGTTGTTTTTTTTTATTCACGAACATCGTGCCCGAACTGAAATCGTTCGGCTGTCGTCCGTCGGTGATATCTGAAATTCAGTTTAATCCGGGCTTGCCAAAACGGTCGATTTAAAGATTCAGATCGATCGGCTGTGGTAAAAATCGCGCTACGCTCGGGAGAGGAAGAGGAAGAGGGAGAGGGGAGCGAGAGAGAGAGAGAGAGAGAGAGAGAGAGAGAGAGAGAGAACGTGATCCATTGAAAAATAAATCGTACTCGCGTCGTAATCGCCGAAAGGAATTCGACGAAAGAAACTACGATCGCGGGATGAAGTTTGTTCGGCGCGTCTATCTCTCCCGATCGTCGATGAAAAAATTTTCGAAAAAATTGATCGAACCTGGGGACGCATTGATCGTGCCGAGCCACGACTCATTCGCGTTTCGACCGCGGGTTTCACAAACGTGCCGCGCAACCACGAGAGACTTTTCTTAAACTCGATCGCGACGCATCGATCCGATACAGCCGGTAAATTACAACAAACTCGCGACGTTTGTATAAAATTGTGCCTGAAACGCGGAAATGGAAAAATGTGCGGCAGCAGTGGCGGCGGTGTGGACCACCATTCGGTGCCATTTCACATTGAATTACTTCCGCGATGAATGGAAAATGCGTAATTTGTAAATTGCCTCGTCGGTACTCGCGTTGAGCGCGATCTCACAAAGGCGAAGCGTGTATGCACGCGCATGCGGGAGTGAATATTTTTTGGAAACAAATCCTGCGGAGATATCGTTAAAATATACGGCTGACATTCCCCGTAAATAGAATTGCGCGTCGGCCCGATTATACGTCCCCGTGAAATTGGCAGGCAAAGCATTTTTGCAATCGCGAGTTTCGAAATAATGCGGGAAATGTGAACGCGCGAGCGATAATGGGCGTTTAATGGTGCCGATGAGCGCGCGCGACCGAGCGTTTGTCGGAATTATTAAAGACAAGGAAGCCGGACCGCGTGTTTCATCTCGTCGAAGTGACAATTTATGGATACATGTTTAATTCCAGCCCTCCCCCGCCTCCTCCATCTCTCTCTCTCTCTCTCTCTCTCTCTCTCTCTCTCTCTCTCTCTCTCTCTCTCTGCCCCTCTTTCTCCCGGCGAGAGAGAGAGAGAGAGAGAGAGAGAGAGAGAGAGAGAGAGAGGAGAGAGAGAGCGGTAAATTTTTATCGTGGCAAGCGAGCATAATATACGCATTTGCGAACAGCGTGCGCCCCGCTCTCTCGTAAAATTGCACCGGTGCTTCATATTCTTTGGGTCGCTGATATTTCTCATAATGAACGGTACATACGGTATTCGTATTTGAACAACATATGAAAGGAGGGGCATCTAGAAAATGCATAAAACGCTTGAAAATGCGTATATCCCTGTGAATGCGAGCAGCTTAATGAAGCGTCTTTCTGTCCGGTTTACTAACAACTATTCCCTCCTCTCCTGCCCACAATCCCAACTCCAATCTCTCCCTCGTGTTTCTCCATGTCCGTCCATAAAAAGTTGTCCAAAGGGAAACATCGCGCTCGAGCATTGAGTGGCGACAACCGTCTCGTTCCGTTGCGCGTTGACAACAATCGCGGATTTCGCACTAATTAATGACGTGCAATTCAATTTTCTTCGCGC